TCATGCTGTCTCTCCCTGTCTCAAAAATTAATAAACGTTAAAAAAGAAATTTTAAAAAAAGGTGGCTTCTGATGAATCACATGAAAGTACATAGATGATCTAAGCCTCAAACCACTACTGTTTGCCAGTATTAATTATAAAATCTCCAAGTCCCAAATAAGTTCATCTTAATTATTCATGTTCATGTGAAGTGACGAGAAAATTAAAAGAACGATTAATTGCGAAGTCCTTATTCTTTCTTCGGTATCTTTGGCATGTATCATACTCGCTCCTTTTTGCCCGCATAGTTCCTCCTGCTTAGGATCGTTTCTCATTCACATTCACCAGGATCCCAGCCATCCTTCAAAGGCTTGTTCAGATTTTACTTCCTATTTGAGGCGTGTTCTGACTACTCTGGGGCACACAGATTTTTTTTTTCCCCCTGTAGGATGTCTATTCCTAAAGTTAGTTAATTTAAGAAAGCTTGGCATGGTATTGTTTTCCTCTGGTTGTTTCCCATAAGTCTGTATGTCAGACTTATCTCCCGAGTCAGACTGTAAACTTTCTGAAGGCAAGGATCACTGCATCCTACACCATTGGTTTTCAAGTTATTTTTCTTGGATAGCCCCTGAAAGATTTTGAAAAATGACATTCGTCCTTGTTCACTGTTAAGTCGGCATGTGAAATTGTACACTAAGTAACTGCAAAGGACAGGATTCAAAATATTGAGATTAAAGACCAAAGAGAGCAAAATGAAATCGTCCCCTGAGGCTTTTACGTGGAGCTAAAGGAATCTGAAATGCTCTTGGGATCGACACCTCCAGTCGTTCATTTGAAAGAACCCACGACGTCTTTAACTGTTGGAAGTTTTGCATCATTCCCTTTACTCCTTGAAGTCATGTTTCTCTTCCACGTCCCTCATAGGACTCCATCCTAATAGAAAGTGTTGTTATGCTTGAAAGTCTTCTCTACATTAAATATGTATGTAAATGGAAATTATTTTTCTAAATTTTCTATGGCCAGAGGCTTTGAAGTGGTAAAGTATTCTTTCTAGATTGACTTGTCATTACAATTACTTTTAGTACACAATTGATCAAAACCCAAACCACATAAATGTATTATAAATTTTTATAAATACTTACTAAGCATAAAGAATAGAGTTTTATTGGAAATACATGTTTCTGTGAGATACGTGGAATTCTTTGTTTACACACGTGAATATATATTGCTTATTGCTAGAAATAAGCAAGGTTCAGCATAAATCCTGTTTCTCTTTTACATTTTTATAGGTGGAAATGCTGGGAACACTCGTTCACATAAAATTGTAGGTGGGAACAGAAGGTGTTTTACTACAGCATTGTCACTCCGTTCTATGAATTCCTTTCGAGCAACATGCCAGAATTATATATTGATTTATTATAAAAATGTTTTTCATCTCTTGTCAACTGTTAACTTGATTAGGTCTTTCTTCAGTGTTGTTGAAAGCAAAGAATTGGAAACAACCTACTTAGAAAAAGATTTGTTAAACAGTCATTAGGGGTAATTTACTTTCTCAGTTTCTGAGAATAATATCGAAAAACCTTTACTAAAAGTTATCAGATGACTATTAATGATACTAGTCACACTTAAAATTTTTTTTAATGTTTATTTATTTTTGACAGAGAGAGAGAGAGAGCGAGCATGAGTGGGGGAGGGGCAGAGAGAGAGGGACACAGAATCCAAAACAGGCTCCAGGTCTGAGCAGTCAGCACAGAGCCTGACGTGGGGCCCGAACTCATGGACAGTGAGACCATGACCTGAGCTAGAGTCAGACGCTCAACCGACTGAGCCACCCAGGAACCCTGATACTAGTTACACTTTAATTTAACCCAATACACTCAGAAAGTGGAAAAAGAAAAATATTAATTCTAATGTACCTGTCAATATAATTTTTAAAACAATTATTTTAAAAATTTTTAACATTTTTTTATTATTTTTTTTAATGTTTATTTATTTTTGAGAGAGAGAGACCGTGTGCAAGCAGTGGAGGGGCAAAGAGAGAGGGAGACACAGAATCCGAAGCAGGGTCCAGGCTCTGAGCTGTCAGCACAGAGCCCAACGTGGGGCTCGAACTCACAAACTGTGAGATCATGACCTGAGCCGAAGTCAGACGCCTAACCGACTAAGCCGCCCAGGTGCCCCTTGAAACAACTATTTTATGTTTCATATGCTTTAAGTATATTTCAGCAACTGTTGAGAACTACAGATTTGGTTCATTCAATTTCTGGAAACTGTCGGCCATATTTACCTCACTGTCAAAGCCAACTCTTATAAGTCAAAACAGTTGGCCAAATCAGATTTAAACTTTCTTCTTTTTTTTTTTTTTTTTAATTTTTTTAATGTTTATTTTTGAGAGACAGAACGTGAGTGGGTGAGGGGCAGAGAGAGAGGGAGACACAGAATGTGAAGCAGGCTCCAGGCTCTGAGCTGTCAGCCACAGAACCTGATGCAGGACTCAAACTCACAAACCTCAAGATCATGACCTGAGCCGAAGTCAGACACTTAACTTACTGAGCCACCCAGGTGCCCCTTGCACTTTCTCTAGAAAACATTTTACTTTGTTTGTTTAAATAGACATGTAATAGACACTCTGGTTGTGTTCACACTCCTGAATTCTTTTCCTAAGAGAGATGGCGAGGGCATGGAGCCTTTGTCAGTTTGTTGGGTTGATGAAATGAGGTGCCCCGCCGCCCCGCCCCCCCTGCCCCCGGCCCCGTGCTTCCCTTCTTTCCTCTCCTGGGACTCTTCCTCAGAATGATGCATCTCTGACAATAGCTGGGGATGAAAAGCACAGGACATTAAATGGAAGTTGTTAAATACAGCTCCCCCATACTGTAGTATGTCTCAATACCAAACATCCCAGGATGGACGAAAATACCCTGTTACTCATGCCATGCATTGCCATTAAAAGAAACATGCGTAAACAGAACAAATTGTGGAGCTTTACTTTGGGTTTTTCCAGCCTTGATTAAAAGAGGATTCCCTGGGAATGCAAGCTGGTGCAGCCACTCTGGAAAACAGTATGGAGGTTCCTCAAAAAACTAAAAATAGAACTACCCTACCACCCAGCAATTGCACTACTAGGCATTTATCCAAGGGATACAGGTGTGCTGTTTCGAAGGGACACATGCACCCCAATGTCTATAGCAGCACTATCAACAATAGCCAAAGTATGGAAAGACCCCAAATGCCCATCAATGGGTGAATGGATAAAGAAGATGTGGTACATAGACACAATGGAGTATTACTCAGCAATCAAAAAGAATGAAATCTTGCCATTTGCAACTACGTGGATGGAACTGGAGGGTATTATGCTAAGGGACATTAGTCAGAGAAAGACAAAAATCATATGACTTCACTCATATGAGGACTTTAAGAGACAAAACAGATGAACATAAGGGAAGGGAAACAAAAATAATGTAAAAACAGGGAGGGAGACAAAACAGAAGAGACTCATAAATAAGGAGAACAAACAGAGGGTTACGAGAGGGGTTGTGGGAGGGGGATGGGGTAAATGGGGAAGGGGCATCAAGGAATCTACTCCTGAAATCGTTGCACTAGATGCTAACTAATTTGGATGTAAATTTTAAAAAATAAAAAATAAAATTTAAAAAAAAATAGATAAGACAAAAACAATCCAGTAAAAAAAATGGACAAAAGATTTCAAGATAGTGATTACAGGAAAATAAATGTAGGCAGCTTTTAAGCATATGAAAATATGCTCAGCTTTGTTCCTTCATAGTAAGAGAAATACACATTAACCAGAACAATACCATTTCCCATTTATTATATTGTTACAAATCTGAAAGTTCCATAACACAGTGTGTGCGTTGATGGAGGGCAACTGGAGATTGCATCTAAATTGGAAATGTAATCCTTTGACCCACGGATTCTACATGTAGCACTGTAAATTTCACATATATTTGCACACATTAAAAAAGACGTACAAGATTTAAATAAATACATAAGTAAATAAAAAAGGATTCCCTATACTAGTCTTTTCTACTATTGTTTGGTGTTTAGAGGTTCTTGTGTTTGCAGCATAAAGGAAGATGAGACACAGGAAGGTGGGGAGAGGCTAGGCCTTTCTTTGTAAAGTGGGAGGAAATTGATTAGGAAAGAGAAGGAGCTGGGCGCCTGGGTGGCTCAGACAGTTTCGCTTCAACTTAGGCTCAGGTCATGATCTCACGGTTCATGGGTTCCAGCCTCTCGTCGGGCTCTGTGCTGACAGCTCGAAGCCTGGAGTCCGAGTCTCCGTCTCTGTGTCTCCCTGTGTCTCGTCTCCCTCTCTCTCCGCCCCTCTCCCGCTCGCTCTCTGTCTCTGTCTCTCTCTCTCTCAAAAATAAATAAGCGTTTAAAAAAAATACAAAAAAGGGGCAGGCGCCTGGGCGGCTCCGTCGGTTAAGTGTCCAACCTCAGCTCAGGTCATGAAAACGGCAACTACAAAACCATTCAGCAAAAACGTATAAGCAGAACTATCCATTTATTTTCATCGGCATATTCTCTTACGTTGAATTTTTTTTTTTTTAATTTCGTTTAAAAGCAGTTTCTCATCATCTAACCTATAGGTCATATATGTGACCACATGAAATTCGCCCTGCAGTAATAAGGTTCTTTTACATCTTAATTAGACTGATTCTAGTTGTCATTCCTACTTTGCTAAGAATAATGTTCAAATTCTGTTTTCTATGCTGTATTGTACCTTATTTTTAAAAAGCTGTTTCAAGTAATGAAGTGTAAAATAAAATTGTCGATGGTAGAAGAGACTAGAATCAAAGTTGTATTTTTAAATCTGCCTGAATTAGCCGACTATAATACAGGGATACATTAAAATGACCACTGGCAGATGATGTCTATGTTGCAGACAAAATGGGTCTTCCGGAGTAATTAACTTAAAAATTGCGAGCTGATGTAAAAACATTACGATTTTTTTTTTTTTTTTTTTTTGCCAAACTGAAATCTTAGCTTTCTGTTGTTGACAGAAAACGCCCCCAAGGCGGGATTGAAACAAGAGCGGCGCCAAGACATCCAATTGCCTAGTGGGACTGTGTTGTCCCAGGAAACACCACCAGTCGAGACGAATGTTTGGAAATCAACAGAGGTAAGTCATTGTGGCAGTTTCCTGTTGCCGCTGTAACAAATTACCACAAACTCCCGTGCCTTAAATCAGCACAGATGTGTCATTTTGCAGTTCTGTAGGTCAGAAGTCGGACACAGGACTCACTGGGCTAAAAATCAAGGTATCATCTGCAGCCTGCCTCCCTTTCTGGAGGCCTGAAGGGAAAATTTGTTTCCTTGTCCTCTCTGGCTTCCTGTGTTCTAAGAGAACACTTGTCTTTTAATTTTACTGTCTTGTTTTACCCCGTTTTAAATAAGAACGCGGTTAAATTACGAAGGTTTTCCGTTAAAGCTCATGCTTTAAAAAAAATCTTCCTAAAGAAATTCTTCTTTATCCTAATAGAATAAAGCTCTCTTATCTTCTTCTAAATGAAATCCTCGTGTCCTCTAGAATTTTACCACATACCATAAGAGGGGGGTCTTACGGTCTTTATACCTGTGGATAAACAGTGTTTAATTTATTGTACAGTCCATCTCTCTCTACTCATCTAAAATAACTTTTTAAAAGATTTCAGGAAGTTGCAGAAATAGTACAGACTCCCGTGTACCCTTTACCCAGCTTCTCCCAATGTTGGCATCTTATATAACTGCGGTGCAACATCAAAATGAGGAAATGGATGTTGGTATGTTACTGCTAACTAGATTACGGATCTTATTCAGTTTCCAAATTTTTAATTCACTATTCAATTAAAAAAATTTTTTTAATGTTTATTTATTTTTGAGGGAGAGACAGAGACAGAGCACGAGTGGGAGAGGGTCAGAGAGAGAGGGAGACACAAAATCCAAAGCAGGCTCCAGGCTCTGAGCCGTCAGCACAGAGCCCGATGCGGGGCTCGAACCCGTGAACCGTGAGATCATGACCTGAGCTGAAGTCGGATGTTTAACTGACTGAGCCACCCAGGCACCCCTCACTAGCTGATTTTTTAACCTCCATTTGTGTGTGTGTGTGTGTGTGTGTGTGTGTGTGTGTGTGTGTGTGTAGGGGGAGTGCTATGCAATTTTATTCTAAATATAGATTCATGTAATCACCAAAAGAAATCCCTCATGCTATCCACCCATCTCATTCCCCACACCCCAACCACGTCCTCCCCTGACGACCACTAATCTTTTCTCTATCTTTATAGTTTTATTATTTCTAGAATGCTATGTAAATGAATTCAGACCATATGTAATCTTTTGAGATCGTTTTAATTTTTTTCACTTAGCATAATGCTCATGATGTCCATTCAGTTGTGAAGTTTTCGTATCTCTGGGATAAATGTCTAGGGGTGTGATTGCTAGGTTGTATATTAAGTACCTACTACATGTGGTAAGAAACTGTCCACCTGTTTCCTAGACTGGCTGTACCATTTTACATTCCCACCAGCAGTGTAGGAGAGACCCAGTTTCTCTGCCTTCTCACCAACTTGTGGCATCACCGTTTTTATTTTGGCTATTCTAATAGGTTTGTGACGATATCTCATCATGGTTTTTAGTTGATGTTTCCCAAATGGCTAATGATGCTGAACATCTTTTCGTGTGCTCGTTTGTATCATCGTCACTTCTCTTCGGTGACATATATCTTCATATCTTTTGCTCATTTTCTAATTGGACTGATGATGGTTTATTACCGTTGAGTTAGGAGAGTTCTTTGTATATTCTGGATACCAGTGTGTTTCTACTTGTGCTCTCATCCATGAAGATGTTCATCTTGTTTTTGAGCATGACCTGTGTCTTTAATTTTCACATTTGTATTTTTCTCTTTCATTGCTGTGTGTTTGGGGAGGGAAGGTATCCCCAAAGTTTGAATTTACAGAACCATCTTGACTGGAAATCTGTTCCATTTAAGACTGTTTACAATGATCTCATCACTCATTTGTTTTTCTGTTTTATGTGTGTTTCTCCTTCTAGAAGGAAAGCTCCTTGAGAGTAACGACCATTTTAGTCTTCCTCATTACTGAATCTTCACTTGCCAAATTTTTGTTAATGAAGAAATGACTGAATGGTAGACACTCAATTTTAACTTCCTTCTCTTCCTCCCCTGTGAAAGAGGCTTGTTTGGTCTTCTGTTTTGTTTAGTGTTCCCTGCCACAGTTCCTATGAGAGTGGCTGGAATTATTTATTGACCTTCTGATCCCAACCCTTTCCCTGAACCCAGTTAGGTATTGGATTTGCCTGATTTTCTAGCAGCCCAGAAAAGTACATAAAATTACAATTTCACTTTTCCCTAATTGCATCACAGCCCACGGACTGAAAGAAAATATGTAGATCGTTTCAAAAGATATGACATTAAGCAAAATTATTTTTATTATTATTGTTATTTTTTTAAGTTTATTTATTTTGAGAGGTAGGGGATGAGGGGAGAGAGAATCCCAAGCAGGTCCCGCGCTGTCAGCACAGAGCCTGATGTGGGGCTCGAATTCACGAGCTGAGATGAAATCAAGAGTCTGACGCCCAACAGACCGAGCCACCCAGGCACCCCAAGCAAAATTATTTTTAAATGTGCGGTCAGTTTTGTTTACTGCCGATGGCTTTTAAGGGAGAAAATAGACTTGAATAATCTTACATGCTTTGGAGCCTAACAAAGACATAAAGTGCCACCTAGCTTTTTTGTATCAGTCCCCAAATTCTCATTATTATTGTTTTTTTCTGACTTTAGAGGAAACTGCTGTAATTGATTTACATCATTCAGCATCTTATATCAGTTAGCAAAAAATGGTGCCCTTCTCTCAAAAGAAGTTTGAAGTTAGATTTCTCTTTCTCAAAGCGTTACTATATCATGACACTATTCCATCATTTTACTGACGAGCATCTCTCTTATTACTGTCAGGAACATTTGATGTGACCCAATATATCCTCTCCAGAAATCTGCTTTTGTGGCAGAAGACAAAACCTACCAGGCTGAACAGTGAATCTAATTGTTGTTGCCAAATGTACTACATCTACATTAAAATTCTCATGTTCTTAATACAGAATGAGAAAGAAATGATACTGTTGATTGCTTAGGCAGATGAAGGGGGCTTAAAAATATCTTCTAAAAACTTTAAATAGAAATCTCTTTATTCTCTTTCTACAAATGAAAGGATGATCTAAAAGCAGTAAATAAAATTCTTAACAGAACAGGGCATTCAAAAGCAGAGCAGAGCTTGCTTGTGGTACTTTCAAAACTCAGGAAAGCCTTTAAACGTACAGCACTTAGACATGGGTATGTGTTCTCTCTAGGTACTGCCCAGAATCTTTATTATTGAATTTGATAATTAATAAGGTTATTACGTAGCCTTTCACCACCTCCAGAGACCTTCCTCTTTTCCTGTTTGAGGACGTTCAACAATGAGGGGTATGATTTTTTTTTTTTTTTTTTTTTGGTCACAGTTGTTTCTATAGCAACCGATAGGGATGCTATGAATTGGTTCACGCAGAATTAAAGCTGACCAAAGCCTTCAGTCTAGTTGTGAGTTTGGAAGTGACGGGAGATAAATGTTTATTTCCTCCTGCTTCTGTTTATTATTTTGTTAAATGAAGAGTAAACAGTTTTTATCCTTGGGCTTATTAGCATATCATTTATTATATTTGCAAAACTTTGAACTCATCAAAGCTGTTAGGGAAATGGAAATTGTACCTATTCTAATCATGCTAATCCATCATCCCCTTACTTCGTTTCTGCATCATTGCTTTATGCTAAAAAGCCCTTTTTTATTTTCATGTCTGTACTTTTATTCTTTTCAAGTTGGAAGATACTTGCTGGAAAAAGTTGAAACAATATGAAAGGGTCAAGAGTGAAAAACAAAGTTTCTTCTTACTTCTCTATACACCTTCAGTTCCTTCCTTCCCTTGGAGGCATCCGTTACCAACTAGGTTCTTAGAAATCTGGGAGGGAAATTTTCTGTGTCCAGGCATTTCTTTTATCTAAGGATTCATTCCGTATATACTGCTCTGCAGCATGCCTCGAACTAAACAATGTATCTTGGACATCTTTTTTATTTATGTAATAAATGCAAATGTATTCATGTAATAAATGCAATGATTTGGTGTGTGTTGTTCCACATCTTTTTCGCTAAACTGTAGATCATGGATGTCTTTCTCTATCAGTATGGATAGCGGTGCTGTATTCTTTCTTATTTTTAAAATTGCTTAATGTTTATTTATCTTTTGAGAGACACAGAGAGCGAGTGGGGGAGGGGCAGGGAGAGGGAGACACAGAATCTGAAGCAGGCTGCAGGCTCCGGGCTCCGAGCTGTCAGCACAGAGCCCGACGCGGGGCCTAAACTCACAAACTGCCAGATCATGACCTGAGCTGAAGTCGGACGCTTCGCCGACTGAGCCACCCAGGCGCCCCTAGCTGTGCATATTCTTGATGCATAAATGAATCTTCGCTTATTTGGCCATCCCCTGTTGGTAATCATTTTGGGATATTTTTATGTTTTTGTCTATTAAGAGCAATATTGTAACAGCGGTTCTTGTACACATTTTATATGATGCTGTCCTAAAAGGGGACTCGCTGAGAGATTATATTTATTTTTAGTTTTGAAAAGTACTGCCACACTGTCCTCCCAAAAGTTGCACCGATTTATGCCCACCAAAAGCATAGTTTTGCAAATACTGAGTATTATCAAACTTGTACACTTTTTTGTCAGTCTGAAAGGTGGGGAAAATTTGGTTTAATTTATTCCATTGTAATTGCAGGTAAGACTGGAAGAACTTTTCACATGTTTCTTGGGGCTTTGTGTTTCTTTTTTTTAAGTTTATTTATTTACTTAGAGAGAACATGTGAGTGGGGGAGGGGCAGAGAGGGAGAGAGAGAGAATCCCAAGCAGGCTCCTCACTGTCAATACAGAGCCCGATGCAGAGCTCGAACTCACAAACCGTGAGATCACGACTTGAGCGGAAGCCAAGAGTCAGACACTCAACCGACTGCGCCACCCAGGTGTCCCTGTGTTTCTTTTTTATTATTAACTCTATTCATCTCCTTTGCTCGTTTTTCTGTTTGGTTTCTCATCTTTTTGT